TCAGAATGGTTTGATCCCTATCTAGCTGAATTCCTGTGACCAGACGAAATTTCGGTCTCCTACTCCTCCGCCATCTTGCTCCTCCCCTGCTAAGATGAATTTAATAAGCTGCAAGAAGTCTGTGTTCTGTCCTTGTTTTATAATTAGTCATTAACATGAAGCCAATGCAAGATTCCCAGCACAGGGCATCTTCTACCACACGAAAATTCTGCTTTTAACCTGAAGCTAGTGCTGTAACCAGACGTGAGGCTGAGCGCTGGTAGCATTACCAGTCTCTCCTTTCTCCTCTTACTCTCCTGAGATTCTCTTTGATCTACTCTTTATTAATTTTATTGTGTATATGCACTTTATGGTAATGCCCTCCAACTCATTTTGAAAACAGGAGTGTAAAATGGAATAAACAGAAGATGGCATTTTAGTCATAATGAATATATGTAGTAAGGTCTTAGTAAGAATAAATGATAAAATCACTTTAGCTTTTTCTTTTGCATTGTTCCTTTACATTCATCCATCTTAGAATCATTTTCAGTATGAATATTTAAAACCTTGTTTTCAATATATTTAATGATTTTAGCTCAACTTTCACATTTTTACCCTTTTAAAAAGTGTGGTAAATGTGAATTGAAACATAGAGAACAGGTACATTGTGTAAGGGTCATTTTAAATATGATTTTTCAAGTGGTTGGAACAGACCTGCCTGATTATAGACTGTTTTCTATTTCTCAAAGTTTTCCTATGTGTGTGTTAAAGAAAAATTTCTCTTGTAATTAAAAAGCCAGTTCGCCCCTATCGCATGCATAGGACAACTTCCATCGACTGTGGGAGTCTATTTGCATCTGGGATGGGCAGAAATATTTGCAGGTTGGCACCTTAAGGAGCACATTTAGCTCTGACAAAAGATCAGGGAAGTTACACAGACTTTGGATATAACTATTCCCTCTAGTAAGATTAGGAAAGCCTTTGGGGCTCACCTGAGAAGGACTTGGCACTTCTTTCAAGGCAGATATATTTTGTTTTGAATTTTAAAGGATGTGGAACATTTTGGCAGAGGTAGGGAACTAGGCCATTTCAAGGTAAGGAAATATCCAAAATATGTGCATAATTGTCTGGTGGTGTTGCCCATGTGACCATTCATAGTGCCGTGGACCATAAGGCTAGAGGAGGCACACAGAGAAGTAAGTAGACTCTTAAGGAAAGTACTCTGTTAGGAAAATGCAGACAACTGTGTGTATGGAGGTACTTACTGGAGGCTAGGTGGAGTGGCAGTCAGGGACACCTTGGAGGAAGTAATGTCCACATTGTGCCCTGAGGAATGGGAGTTAAAGAGGCAAAAAAGAAGGGAAGAGAGGAAGGAAGACTACATGCAAAGGCCAGGAGCAGGAGACACTAAGTCGAGGAACTGGAAGAATCTCAGTGGAAGCATTGAATTCTTTTTACTCTTATGTTATATTAACAGGTGCCTGCAGAACATGCAAGTAGAGCTCTCTAGTATGCAGATAGAAAAGTTCAGGAAACCAGAGAGGTCTGGGCCGAACATGGAGATTCAGAAGTCAACAGTGTACAGGTGTTAACTGGAGCTGTGAGAATGGAGACCAGAACCCCAGCAGAGGTGGGGTGGCGCAGGAGGGGAGAAAGCCAGAGCAGTCACTTGACTGGGAAATGAGGAGGTGCACATGCAGTGAATGTGGAACATTCTTTCAAGAAATTTGGCTTTAAAATTAGTTCTAGCTAGAGGGGGGAATCTGGGCTCAAGGGAACTTTTTTGTTTGTTTTTTTGTTTTTAAGATGAGGTAGATTTGGAACATGTTTAAATACTGATGGGGAATTGCTGGCGAAGTAGGATAGACTGAAGAAGGAGAGGCAGGGTTACTGGAAACAGAAAGACCAAGGAGGAGGTTCAGAGCAGAGGTGGGAACAAGCATAGAAGAGTGGGAACCCCCCTTCACTTAACAGCCTGCAGATGGAGGAGAAGCTGGGCAAACACCTGTGCCTTGTGGGTAAAGGTTGAGGGCATTCTTGCTTAATGAGTTCTGTTTTCTCTGAAGTCTGCAGTGAGTTCATCTACTAAAAAGCAGAGAGGAGTTGGTAGAGCTGGAGAGGAGGCTAGAAGCAGCCACTGTAGAGAGTGAGAGAGAGAGCTATCTCAAGAAATAGAACAGTTGTACTGAGAGCTTTGTCTTTCCCCAGTTACAGCCAGCACTAGCCACAGACACTAGAGGGATTTTGAATCAGTAGCTTTGTTCATGGTGATAACTGATTTCTCTGTAGCTCAGATCCTGGTTACAGTTGATCAAATGAATTTTGAGAAACTAAAAGAAAAACAAGATCAAGTGCTCTTTATTTTAAAGTTCATTTTATTCATAGCAATTTAAAATATTTTGTTAAAAATCATTCTTATTCCAAATGAGGGTGATTCAATTCTCTTGTTGGTTGGTTCTAGACGCTGATGGTGGCGTGGATCCGAGCAAACCTCTGTGTGTACATTTCCCGAGAGCTCTGGGATGACTTCCTTGGCGTGCTGTCCTCCCTCACGGAATGGGAAGAACTCATAAATGAGTGGGCCAACATCATGGACTCCTTGACAGCAGTGCTCGCGAAAACGGTTTACGGAGTTGAGATGACAAACCTACCTCTGGACAAATTAAGTGAACAAAAGGAAAAGAAGCAGCGAGGCAAAGGTACCTCCACTCTTACAGAGTAACACCAGATATCTGAGATTGAGGAGGAGTGTGTGTCTATACATTTAGGCAATTAATATGCGTGGAATTTAATAAAAAACGGAACCAGCCATATAGGCGGTGTCTTTTTTTTTTTTTTTTTTTAAGATTTATTTATTTGACAGAGAGATAGCAAGAGGAGGACCACAAGCAGGGGGCGTGGGAGAGGGAGAAGCAGGCTTCCCGCCAAGCAGGGATCCCGATGCAGGGCTCGATCCCAGGACCCCAGGATCATGACCTGAGCCGAAGGCAGACGTTTAACAACTGAGCCACCTAGTCGCCCCTAGGCGGTGTCTTTTTAATGGTGGTGTTGAACTGTGTTTTGTAGCACTCTGTCCTCTTAATGAGGATGATGAATTTATGAAGGAGCTGTGAATGAAGAAGGAAGATGAAGGGGAGTAGCAGTAGTAGCAACAATAATAATAATGGCTCATGCTTGTATGTATTCTCTCTCTTGACTCTCTAACGTCTGAGTTATCATCCCAGTATCATAGAGAAACTGAAGTACAGAGAGTTGGTGCTGACGGACTCATTCAAGGTACATAGCTAAGAAGTGGGAAAGCCAGAAATCAAAGCTAGGCAAGTCCAGCTCCAGGCAGCACACTAGAAAGACGTATTCTACTGCCTACTTAAGATAGGTGGAAAAATCCTAAATGTTTCAGATAGTCATTTTGACCTTTTTTGTGTTTCTGGGTAAAAATTGTTTTGAGAGCTAGAGTCAGATCAAGGTGGAAAACATTAGTGGTGGTTTCTATTGGGGACAACAATTTGTCTTCCTTAACTGTTTTAAGGCTATGATACAGTCCTTGGATTAATTCACTTGTACTCCAATTTATTATGTAAAGATTTTGAGGCAGTTCACAGAAGTACCTATAATACAATAGATAGGAGCGCCTGGGTGGCTCAGTTCGTTAAGCGTCTGCCTTTGTCTCGGGTCATGATCCTGGAGTCCTGGGATTGAGTCCTGCATAGGGCTCCCTGCTTGGCGGGGAATCTGCTTCTCCCTCTTACCCTACCACCTCTTGTGTTCTCTCTCTCATTCTCTCTCTCTCTCAAGTAAATAAATAAAATCTTTAAAAACAATTAAAAAAATAAAAATAAAATAGATAAAATGCATAAGGACACTGGGGCAAAATTAAAGGGGGTGGAGTTGCAGGAGTTTTTAAAATGCCAGAATGCATGCCGGAGAGCCTCCTATGCTTGCTGGGGTGGGAGGAGGGGGGCAAGCTTAGATTTGACTCTGATCTTCACAGGGTTACAGCAGAGGATCACAGATTACAAAAGGGGAAAATCCGCAGCTTAGGTGATACATAGCTTTTCCTGGTCCTAAAATCTGGGCAGAGTTTCTCCTCCAAAGATTCATAAGGTATACATTGCTTGCTGTGGGTAGACTACAGCCTCAACAATAGCCTTATTATAGACTGTATCAGCTTTTCCTGTGTGACAGATCACCCCAAAACATAGTGGCTTACAGTAACAGCCAGTTGTTTAGATCATGATTTTATGAGTTGGCAATTTGGTTTGGACACAGTTGGGCAGTTCTTCTGCTGGATTCACTCCTCTGTTTGCAGTCAGCTAGGCTGTCAAATAATCAGCTAGACAGCTCTAGAGTTGGCCAGCTGTCAGCTGGGGCAGTGGTAGGGGGACTTGGCCATAAAACTTTCATCACCCAGCAGGCCAGCCCAGGCTTTTTTTGTGAGAACTTAGGGTTCCAGGAGCAGCAACAGGGCAAGCCCAGATTTTCAAGTGCATTTCATATCTCTGCTTGCTCGGTTTTGCTACCAAAGTAAGTCATGTGATGAAGCCCAGGATCATTGTGGGAGAGGAACACAGAGGATGTGGATGTGGGGAGGTGTGAACCAACTATGGTGATTATTTAACCATACAGACATGTAATTAATGTGACTGATTCTTATAATATCTTCGCTGCAGTCTGGGAGTGGCTGTATTTATTTATAGGAAGGTAAACAATTTGAAAAACACTATGGAATGATAAAGAATGAATTTATTTAATTAATGACTATGGCAAATATTTCTGATTTATCTAATATATTGCTTTATTCTAAAAATGAATTTAAATATTCATTATGGAAATACTTGCCTTCTAAGCACTGGATTTGTGGAAACAAAGTACACTCTCAGGAACCTGGGTGTGAAAATGATCCACAGGGGGCAGCCACCAGCACATTACCTGTGCAGAAATCTCTGTCTCATTCTCTTTTCTCCTTTATCTCTTTTGGATCCTTGACCACTCGTTTGAAATATTTAACCAGAGCTCTATGAGAGGAAAGCAGAGAAGTGGTACCTAATTTTGCAACAAGAGAAGTTGCTGATTATATACAGTTGTATTTATGAAATTTGCTGAGCAACACAAGCTGTGGAATGAATGAGAATGAATTCAGCCTTTATATTATTTTTCTTGTCTTATCCTTTATCAGGCTGTGTTCTAGATTCTCAGAAAGGAACCACTGTGGGGAGATCCTTTTCTCTCAGCTGGCGGAGCCACCCAGATGTGACCGAGCCAATGCGATCTAGGAGTGCCACCACATCTGGGGCGCCAGGAGTTGAGAAAGCAAGAAATATCGTTCGCCAGAAAGCAACGGGTAAACGTTTATTTAAATGTTTCTCTAAGGTCTAGTTGCTATCTGAAAATGGATTTATAGGAATAAAATGTTTTAAAAGTTCTAAAATTCCACTCAGAACTCAAATACATGGCCTTTTATTAAATGGGATGTTTCCATATCTTTTAGTTGTCTGTTCTGGTTACTCTTAAAATCTGTTTTTGATACTTATTTCTGAATCTTTCATTGTGAAAAAGACCTTGAGATGTTAATGCTGAGTGAGATATCTGTGCAAAAGAGAGAAAATAGATATTTTGTTTGAACCCTGAAGAAAATAGATTCTCAGTAATCACACAGTTGTACTACTGTTGTTGAGCAGCGTTAATCTTAGTGTGGCACTGTTCCAACAAAGAAAAAGAGAATAATGCACTTAGTTTGCAGGACTGGAGGGGGATATTTAAGTGTTTTGCTTCTTTTAGGAAATGGGAGCTTTACATGCCTGGAGCTGTTGTTCTTCTAGCCTGTTAGAACTAACAAGAACTTGACCAAGAACCCCCAGTTTTTTGGACTGGTTTGCTACACTTCACTTTAAAACCAAAAGATAAATCTTTAAAAAGTAAGCTTATATCCAGTATTTAATAAGAGCAAGTAAAGCCCCTTCCCCCCAGTGACTTTGAGGCTGTAACTACATTTAAAACAAATTTATCTGAGTTTCCTGTAGTTTTTCACATCAGTAATACCATGCTGTCATAATCGATATTCAGCATGTTAACTGCAGAAAGTCACAATATCCTCTGGTCATAAACCAGAGTCATTACACTCAGCGTATCTTACAGTGCTTAGTAAAGGCTTCGTACAGATGGCTTAGAATCCTGTTGGAGTCTTTATGAAAATATATTATACCTTAACCCTAATTGTCTAATGCTCTTTGCCATAGCATTTGTTGATAATTATCACCTTATTTACATTCACCTCTTGTTCTGCTTCTCCTGCTTTCCTTCATCTCTCCCCTGAGGAGAGACTCAGTTCCTAATAACAGGCAACTTTGGGGAAGGCTTACTCAATGATTTCCATTCTTGTTCCAACTCCTAAAAATTCCTTTCTTCCATCTTTGGATCAGAGCAAAAGTTTGTGACAAAGTGGCATCATGCCTCAGCTGCCCAGACTCCCTTAGGGCCCTAGAATTGTAATGATAATAAAAATGATCATTCAAAACACTGTGTAAAACTCTACTTTCACATTTTAATGAGCAGCAAAGTATTGTATATTGCATGCTCCTTATTCCCCTACTAGGCTAAAACACAGCCATAGAAGACATTGTATTTTAGTTTTTCAGCAGGTGTTTCAGACCAGTAATACGATGGTGGCACCAATATTGTTCTCGATAATCCTCGGTGCATTTATGCCAGTGAGCTTCTGTTCATCAGTGTTCTCAGGTGTCAAAACCGTGGCATTGCAGCAATAAGAACTTTTACAAAATCACGTTAAAGGTATTTAGACTATGTCACTTTAAAGTCATAAACCTGGCCTTTTTAGGATTAATTAAATTAAAAACACTTGGAACCATAACCTTTAAAAGATAATGGGATAAGAGCTATTGAGTTGGATGGGTCTCTTACCTTTATGTATTTTGTACACACATATGTATTTCCTTTTTTTTTTTTTTTTTAAGATTTTATTTCTTAGTAATCTCCACACCCAAGGTGGGGCTCAAACCCACAACCCTGAGATCAAGAGTCACATGCTCCACCAGCACCCCATGTATTTCCTATTTTATTTTACACATTTATCTTTTTTAGTTGCCTGTGAAAACAACAGTCTCTGAAGATTTTATTATATCATGCTGTTTTATAAAATTAATTTATATAGACTAATAGTCACTATATAAATAAACTGGTTTTATTCAGTTCTGTTGTTTTTACATTGTGTAATAATTCTCCTTTCCATCTTTTAAAAAAGGCCTAGAATAATTTCATGGTAGATTTTGATTTGTGTGGAGGCCACCTTTTAATGAGAGAACTGCAGCTCAGGAAGTTAGTTTTTGCCACTTTTATTTAGCATTAAAGTGCTTATTATGGAAGACTCATTTGAAAGTGACTTTTTTTCCCCTAATCTCAATACAAGAATAATTTAAGATTATTATATTATAGTTTGCCTTACAGACTACTTAGATTGAGAAAATGTCAGTGATGATGGTAAGATGGAAATAATAAAATAATCAATTGCAGAGTAGGGAAATGACAATTTAATAGAATCAACTACTTTGCAACTTAAAAGGAACTAACAAGAGAGTCTTAAAGAATTATAAAGGAAAACTTTGTTCCTGAGTGTGAATGATGCTAAAATTTTAGATGTCTAAAATGAGTGATTAAAACAAATCAATTTCCACACAAAAAAATTATTCTAAGTTTTATTATTTCTAAAATAACTAGTGATCAGTTTCAGGAAAATGCATAATCATTTCATTTATAAAAGGACCTTGAGAGATGAACATATCTTTTAGGAAATTTGAAGTAAGTCAGTTTGACATTCGCATGGGAGTCATTTTCCCTTAAATATTATCTTACCCATTTGTGAAGTGTACTGTAATCACTTTAGATGTGAGAGTTAGAACTGGGAATTTGACAGCCAGAGGTTGGGGCCCAGGGAGACACAAGGAAGTGAAAAGTTTGTTTCACTCTTGCAAATGTTATCATTCTCATTTATATTTCTATTTCATTAATGTGAAATAAAATCACGTAAAAGTAATAGAACAGCAAGTAAACCTTTAACCTAGTTTTAAGGATAAAAGTGATCTTACTGATGGTAGTTTCATATATATGAAGTGTATTCTCTTCCTGTGTTTATCCATTTTCTCAAATGGTCATTTCACTAGCAGTCTTTTGAAAACTTAAGAGTGGGGCGCCTGGGTGGCTCAGTAGGTTAAGCGACTGCCTTCGGCTCAGGTCATGATCCTGAGTCCCCGGATCGAGCAGGGAGTCTGCTTCTCCCTGACCGTCCCCCATCTCATGCTCTCTCTCTCTCTCTCATTCTCTCTCTCAAGTAAATAAAATGTTATTAAAAAAAAGAAAACTTAAGAGCATCATAAAGTTCATACTAGGAGATTATGGATTTTAATAAGCACGAAATGTGTTATGGAAGGATGGGTTTCATGGAGATTTTTGCCTTTTTTTCCAAATACCAAATCTTTCGGTGTTCAACTTGACTTTTATGTGTCATTTAATTTACTAAATGATTTGCTTTTGAATACAGTCAGCTCTCAGTAAACCAACTTTTGAATTATTTATTATTTGTAAAGCAATTTTAATCTTAGGCTAGATTTTTCCCTCCCCCACCCGCACGGTCTTTTCATATGTGTGTCCTCTAGGAAGGGAAAAGTGATTATAATGTCCACTCAAATAAACAACCCAAATGTGGGTCTGATACACAGCAGGAAAAAAGGAAAGCTAAACATGTAAAGCATTCTAAAATAAGATTATCTGTGAATTGTCTATTCTCCCATGTCATGAGAATGACTGAAGGTTGGCTGTATTTAGAGACTATGGTTAAATACTCTTTGTACTGACTTCTTTTAAAGTATAAAATGACCTCCTTTAAATATTGAAAGGAAGACCAGAAAAATAGCCATAAAAAAAAGTGAAAGATCCTGATGTGCTTCTGACATAAATGTTACTTTCTTTCTCCTGGAAGCCAAGCGAAGCCAGTCTATCAGCAACTGTGTCCACCTTTCTGAGGCTTTGCCTGCCACTAAAAGCGTCCCGCTCCTCCTTCACACCGTGAGCGCTCTCTTACCTGGTCTCTCTCACTCCTCTTGCTCTCACAGGCTGTCAGGTACTGTAATGCTGTGTCTTGTGTCCGTCATGTCCCCGGGCTTCTCCCGCTTGCTGCTGGGCCTTGCTTCCTTTGTTAAACCCCTCCAGCCCCCCACCACGCATGCGTACCTGGTTGTTGCACTTTGCGCTTATTTTCGGTGAATATTAATCATTGTTTTTATGTAGTTAGATGTTTAGTAACAATTAAACAGTCAAGAAAAATGTATTTCTTTAACACCACTGGTCTTTGCTTTCCCAGTTAAGAGAATACAGGATTTTGTGGCCCATAGTTTTTAACAGTGATGACTGCCTCAGTGTGCCTTCTGTACAATGCTTGCAGAACAGAAGTTTTGAGCATGTTTGTGTCCAAATGCTTGCTGTGCCTCCCCAAAATGGATAAACGGGAAGATTCATATAGGCAAGAACTCCTTGGGATTAATAAATCATAATCATATACAAAATAATAATTTTATGGAGATTCACACTGATTATTAAGATCTGGGTAAAAAAAGATGCTAGAAAGTACAATTTTCAAAACAAGGGGAACATTGTTCTTGTGCTCCAGCCAATTAAAATTGAGTTTAGCCACATGTGGTTTGCACACAGTGTTTTTCTGGATTAATTAAGACATTATAGCACCAAAAGTGGTGATTTTTGGCATAGACCCCTCAACAACGGATCTCCTTTGCTCTACAGTGAATAATTAAGCCCATGTCCAGTTACTTTTCAATGATTCTATAATGAACTGAATCTTCATGCTAAAGAGGGACATGTTTTCATGTTTTCAGAAAGATGGTATTATTGATTAGTATTTATTTAGTATCAGAGATAGCCTGCTTGTGACTTTCTGTAGCACTAAATTATGCCATATGGTGGTATAGCAAAGCAGAATCAAATCTTAATTTCCCTGATGAGTATGTAAGATACCATATTATTTAATTAGCAGACTATGAGGGAAGAAGTTCATTTTATTGAGACTAAGGAGTACATTTCTTAGAAAATACTTTTCTCTAGTAAATACCAAAGGTGAAACACAGTAAGAATGGTAAGATGGTCACCAGTCAGTTAAATTACTCATGAGCTACTTGATAATTTGGTTTTCAAAAAAGTGCTACTGCCTAGAAATGATTAATAAAGCATTTAACGTAGTTGGCTTTTTTTTTTTTTAAACGTAGTTTGCTTTCTATTTGGCTGATATATAGCTGATACGCACCCAAAAGGAGTTCTTTTCATGGTGGAAAGTTTTTGTTTTTCACAGTCCATTTTTTTCCCCCATACTGTTCCATTTCATAAAGGTTTCTACTAGTTTGTCCAAAATATTTTTTCACAAGAAACCTCTTTCTGTTCGTAATCTCATTTTGGAAACTTTTTTCTCATTCGCTGTTACATTTTAGTTTACACAGATTCTTGATTCCCATAGATAGGTACATAGTTCCAACAGAGGTTAAATATGGTTTAGAACAGTGGTTCTCAACTGGGCTTGACTTTGCCCCCCAGGGAACATTTGGCAGTGTCTAGAGACATGGCACAGCTGGGGTAGTGCCGCTGGCACCTGGTGGGGTGCTGCTAAACAGCCTCATCGGCTGCACAGGACAGCCCCCTCATGAAGAATTATCTGACCCAAAGTATCAATAGTGCTGACTTTGGGAGACCTTGATTTGGAGTGATACGAAGCAGGACATGCTGAGTCAGTATTTTCCTGCCTTTGCCTTCCTTATTTCTGGTTTTATAGAACAAAGGGTAAAGGGACTGAGCAGTATAGTGACATTGAGACCATTCTGCTGTTCCCTGTGCTTCATCTGACAACTGCCGTAACGAGCTCTGCCTTAGTCTGATGCCGTTTGTTCCTTACTGTTAAGGTGATGACGTTTTCCTTTGGGATTGTCCTTTCAAGAGACTAGGCCAAGAGCAGTGCATATCAATCCTGTCTTAGATTGTACATTCTCACTGGTTGGCACACTAGTGTATTAAATTTGTGTTCCAATTTAAATCCTAGTGTGTTGGCATATCTTGCTCACCTGTTGCTAAGTATAGATATAGGTAGATTTATATCCACCTATCCATTAGTATGCAGATACTATTAATGTTGACTTTCTGGCCACAAGGTCTTTACTATAAAAATGATTGCTAATTTTGTTTTCATTTGTTAACATATCTTGTTTTGTTCCTAGTCTGTATGACTATACAGCATGCCAAAATTGCTTTAAATAATATAAACAATAGAGAATTACTTACCTTCAGCCACTATTATATTTATTCTAGTCCCTTTAGGACTCTATTTGGTGGCATCAGACTTTTGGGAAAGCAATAACCACCTGTATTCCATTTATATGAATAGCTACATAAACATGTGGGAGGTAGAACTGGCAGTTTTGGTGATTTTCCTCTTTCTCCTTTGTGGGAACAGTTCTTTCCAGCTGTTTTGCAATTTTAACTGCTTTTATGTTGGCACATTTATCATTCAATCAGTGCTTATAGGCCATGCAGATGATAGATTTTATTTTTGTTTTAGGGCCATTGTAATACTTGTAATTAGAGGATCAGTGATCTTCCCTCTTTCTAAAAGAGACTCAGTGGTACCTAAGTGAAAACCTCGTTTAGGTGCTTCTGCCTCTGGTTCTCAGGCTTGCAGGTAGTACCTGAGTATCAGGAAGTGCTTGTTGTCTGGGTTTGGGCTAGCTCACAGTTGGACCTCGTAAGAAACCTCAAGATGTTGAGTTGACTTACATCTCTTATGTTTTTTATAGGGTCAAGTCAGTATCATGTACCATGCTTTAAAAGGAAATTGTACTATTAATTTTGCCTTTGCAACCCTGTATGAGGGGTAAGTGGAACCCAGAATTTTAGTAATTGAAGAATGAGTCTCACTTCATTTAATAAGATTGATTAAGGAAGCCTTAGATTAAAGAGTGAGTGAAATTGCTTTGAAAAGTAGTCAGACGTCTGGAATAGAGAGAAGTTTCTAAAGACTTTGTGCACTTAATTTAATCATGTGGATTTTTCTCTCAGTGGGAAAAAAAATGAAGTAATTCTAATTTGGTCATTTTCCTGGTGTTAGAAAGCAATGATTTAGTAGTAGTGTTGTGTGTAACTTACACTCTCAAGAAGCTAGAAGGTTAGTACTTTTAAAATTTGGGTTATTGGGTTAGCAATGCTTGAGAGAAAGTGAATGATTTGGTGAGCCTGAGCTAGTGATTCAAACAAATTGTGTGATACTCAAAATGGAATTCGTTAGATCTACCAGAATGTATACTGTAATTTTTATATAACTTAGATTGTTCATTTCTGTTTTGATTATCAGATAATCCTATATCTTGATATTTGTATATCAGTGTTAAAATGGTCTTAATTTGTTAGGAGAAAGCAGCTGCTCCAGCCGACACTGGAATGGGAGCAGCGTTAACAAGGAGCTTTCTTAACAAATAAAAAGCCAGCAGAGGGAGCTCAAGAACTGTTTAAAAAAAAAAAAAGAAAAAAGTACCAAGAAAATGTTTTTTGTATTCATTTGCTCATTATGCAAGACATATATTGAGTATATACTTAGCAGAAAGTGTGAGAAAAAGCCAAGAAATGTACATTTGCAAATCAGGAAATTGAGCTTTAATTGTGAGAGAAGAATTTATTTTTCCGCACGGTATCACTTACCAGTCGCCTCTAGGAGTCGCTCAGGGCACCAGTGGTACTGCAGCCCTAACCCACGTTTGCCATTGCGATTCTCCTCTTCCTTCCCACCCTCATCATGGATGCGCCCATCCTTACCACTTCTGGTGATTTCTGCGGGCTTGGACTTGCTCCATCTGAGAAGTCCCTACCAACAGTTTTACAAAAACAAAGCCTTAAAGCTGCATTAGGCCAGTCTGTTGGGAAGGCACACCAGCTGGTGATGGCAGGCTCTTTGCCCGTCTGTTGTGTTGAGGACCGGTGGGGACACTCGAATTTGGAAGCCATGGTGCTGTGGCTGTCCTGTATCCCACCAGATGGCGATGTTCTTTATCTTTAAAAAGATGCTGCCAGTGTTGGCCTTGCTCTTATTTGTTTCTGCTCCTAGCCCAGAAACCAACATCTACCAGTTTTTGGCATCATTTTAAGTGAATAAAACCCTCTCTTCCCACTGTCCATAAAAATTGGCACTTGCCAGTTATTTTTTAGAGAATTAGGAAGCTCTTGGGCTCCCCCTACTGATATTAGATTAACAAGTAGGTTCATTAACAAATATAAACACTACCCAGAAGGTTTCAGTGTCTTGCATAATTAGAATAAACAATGAATAAAGACAGCCTGAAGGGGCTGGTCCCATGGCATCATCTGGCTTCTGTTGCCTAAAGCCAAAGAGCCTAGAAGCAGACCTGTGAAAAGGGCCTAGTCTGTGCTGGGGGACATGTGGGGAGATCACAGACATGTATAAATGTCTTGTGTCTCCCTGCGGGAGAATGAACAGTTCTTGGCCATTCAAGAGAAGAGAAGGGCAAAGACAGCCTGGAAAAGACGTGCTTTAATGGGTCTGTGTGTTCTTGCTACCTTGGCCTTTGTTTGCTCATGCCCTGAGTTCAGCTTCCCATGAGTGTCTAAATTTAGACTGTGGCCCGGTACTCTGAATTATAAGTGAAGCATTACACAAATTTCATAGTTTTGAAGTCTCTTAACTTGTGTAAGTGTACTTTAAAATGGAATTTTTATTTGGATAGTAAAAATAAAGCAGCAACCTTTTTGTTGAAGTCCGGTGTATTACATTTAGAATCTTCCACGTTACAGCTTCTTGATTAGGGAGAGCCTGCGCTTTGGCTCGTCTTGGGAGTAAAAGGTTAGACTGAGGGTGGCACATGGGCAGTGAGCCTCATTTCAGGTGAGGAAGTGGGTAACACTGCCAGGTAAGATGATACAAGCTGAATTTTGATCTGTCTCTTTTTAGAAGGAGTGAGACTTCAGCTAATTAAAATTTTTGGAAAATATGTTCTAGCTATATCGACAAAGTTTTATGACTCTCTGCATGAGTGTGGAGTCTGCTGAGGGCTGCATTGGTGGGGTTCCTATGCAGGACCACATGGCAAGTCCTGTAGGAGGAGCGTCCCCACAGGAGGCAGGGAGGCAGGCAGGAACAGGTCTGAGGTTAGCATGGAGGAGTGAGCAGCCGGAGGGAGAGAGCAGCTGGTGCAGGTGGGCTAGGATTGCTGGAGACTAAAGTGAGTGAGAGCTCCTGTGGGGGGGGTCACATCTGTGGGGTGAGGTCAGGGGTAGCCCTGTATTCCCTGTGAGGAGCACGGGCTTGACTGTACAGTGATGGAGGACCATGGCAGGAGAGAAGTATTGCAGGCAGATCTTAATTTTAGAGGGACCTCTCTGGAGCCACATAGAGAATAGAGAACTCATCCTCTAGGAGAATATATTTTGTAATAATGCTAGCTGATATTGTCCAGTGGTCAGTACTCATCTGTGGTTTTCTACTTTATGGCATTTATGTATTGATTCTCTAAAAATACCAGTGGGTCATTTTTGTACTTTAGTGATTAATTCAGCTTCGCATTTGGTGTTATAAGCTATTAAATAATTACAGTATTTTATTTTGGACAGTTGTGCATTTATCTGTTAAAAGGAATAATAGAGTTGAAATTCCCATTTCCTAGAGAGGGGTGTGTGTGTGACTTGCTGCTCTCCTCAAATGTAAATTCCTGTTCCGTGTATCGCTTCATTCTCTCATTCCTTGGCATGCCTGTCCCTAGAATTCCAAGTGACTTTTATAGTTCTCAACCATTTCTGCAGCTTTTTCTCTTTTTTTTCCTTGACTTGGAAAAACAAAATGCTTTGCAGAACTTAAAATGTATTCTTGGAGTGGAATATTACTGTTAACAAGTGTAGAAAACTTTACGATGTAAATGCAGATTATCTTACTGTGTAATTTTGGGGGGGAAGTATCTAAAACTACAGTTTTAGAATCGGTTGGTTCAAGTGGTGAAATTATTTTTAAAAATATTGAAATACATCTCCGCATGTTTTGTGTTCATGCCCACAGAAGTGGAAGAATGTCAGCAGTCAGAAAATGCACCTGCCGCCGAATCTGGCTGCCTGGTGGCAGAGCAGCCGCACATCATGCGGAGTAGCAGCACGCCTGACGTCATGGAGCCGCCGTGCTCAGACTCTCCACAGGGTACGGAGTAGCTGCACTTCCTAACAGGACTGCAGATCCTGGTGGGAAGGAGCTGCACACCAGATTGCGTTCTGCATTTATTCTCACCCTAAAGGGAACCTTCTTTCTAAGTTGATTGCAAGGATGTGACTTCTGGCAATGAAATATTTTCACTGTTTATTTTACTACATTTATGTAAATTATATATAGTTAGGTGCAGCTCTTTTAAGAGCAGCCTGTTTGAGGACTGGAGAGAAGTCTGGAGGGGCTGCAGTAGGTGGGAAGCAGAGAATGCTACACCACAGGGTCAGGGAGAGCAGCAAAGTTAGGGGAGGCAGGGGAGGGGCATGTGGGAAAGGGCTGTGTGAGGAGAGCCATAAAAGTTGATGGTGAGCACGGACAACTGGCCAAACTTGTGAGAAAGTTTATTAGCAGCTTGTGGCCTCTGCTGAGGTTGAAGACAATAATTTGTGATAACATCCATCTACACAGTGTCTCCGACACCTTTCAGCAAAACAGGACGTGGAAGCAAAGAGGCAGATGGCTAGACCTGAAAACAGTGAACGACATGTTTTTCAGGGAAAGCGCATGTTTTAGTTGTGTCTGGTGCCAGTGAGCGTGCTTATCATTTAATTCTAGTTTCATCGGTTAAGTAAGAAATAAACCAGCTTCTTTATCAACAAGTTATCTCATAGCCTCATCAAAAGACTAGGTAAGTGTTCCCTCTTAGAAATCTTCTTGAAATAAGAAAACACAATTAAGAAATAACTCGAGAGATGTATTATCTGAAAGATTTTCTATTCTCCGAAAGGTTTTGTGTAAAACTGTTGTAATTGTTTTCCCCCCTGAAATATTTGATAGAATCCACCAGTTGCCTGAAGTTTTCTTCTAGGAAGATTTTAAAATACCATTCAAATTTATAAATCATTTTAAGGCTATTAAGATTTCCCTTTTCCTATTTTGATTTAGATTAAGATTTTTTTTCTAGGAGTTTGTTCCATTGATGTATTTTTTTTTCAAATTTATTGGCCTCTTATGATCATTTGAAATTTTATAGGCTGTGTGGTGATATTCCCTTTTTTATTACTGATACTGGTTATTTTTGCTTTCTCTCCCCAATCTTTATTCTTGAGTAATACTGAGCCACTGTACCGCTCTATTTTCCTGTCAGTTCACCCGCCCAACTCAGGTAACTTTCCTCTGAGATCCCTTTCTGAAGGCCCCCAGGAGAGCTCTTGTTGCCCTCCCTTGTGCCAACTTAATGTGCTAAGTGGACCTGTTGGCTACAGTGAATAGCATTCAATCCACTCTCTTAAAAGCTCTCTGTGGGTCAAAGATTCTATAGAGTAGACTTGACCCATAGGCTACCAGTTTGCCAGATCCATAACTCCTGTTTTTACATATCCTAGAATATCTAAATTTGATTAATTACTTATATATAAAAATCCTGTTCTAATTTTATCATCTGAAATTTTATTTTGTAAATTTTTCCCCCAAATCTCTAGGTCAAAAGGTAGAAAATGTACAGACTTTGAGTTCTTCAGAGTCTAAGCCTGTTCAAGAAAACAAAGGACATGTGAAGAAAGAACATGAAGGAATAACAGTAAGATATTTTTGAACTGTATCAGTTTGTTATTAAAAATAAGCATATAAATTATTGGCAAAGTAAATTTATTAGTAGCAGCGATACTTTCTTTTAAAACATTTCTCCCTTTAGATGGATTATTGGCGATTGGTGATTGGTTATTGAGATCTCTTAAAGGCTTGCTTTCTGTGTAAAATTATAGTCACATCACAAAAATAGAAAAAAATTAGCATGAAAATGGAATTTACCTTCTGGTCTGTACGTAGCACTCAATATTTTTAAGCAGGTATCCTTGCCTGTCAAACATACTCAGATTCCCTGTTCCTGATAACTGCTTTAGGTGGTATGCTCCACCTGACGTGAGTTGCTAGATAAGTGAGTTTTTGCAAAGATCAGTTATGATTTCTTTTTTAGAAAATGTAAAATAGCATTTATTGGTTTTTTTTTTTAGACCAAATATAAAGTATAAAGAAGAACATTAAAAAGTAACCCATATCTCATGTGTGCAGGTAACTCCTGCTTAGTCATTTTTAAAAAACATGTAGTATATATTAATGGAAAACTCAAACATCACAGAAAGGTGCAAAATAAACAGAGAAGGCCGCTTCCTAGTCCTCCCTGCCTAGAAGATAACCAGTGTTAAGTTTTTCTGTCTTTATTTTTTAAAAGGGCATATACCAGTTTATGTATGTATATTATGTATATATGTGTATGTATATTTCAACAACCAAATAAACACCTACATACCCACTGCCCAGTTTCAGAACTAGAATTTTTCCGGTGCCGTTGCTTTGACCTATAGGTTCTTTCCTTGTCCCCTTAGAGAATAGCAATATGTTGGCTTTGTGTTTATCATGTCCTTGCTTTGCTCTGTAGTTTTGCTCTATATGATGTATTTCCAAACACTATATCCTTTAGTTTTCCTTATTTTTAAACTTTATTAAAGGATATTATTGCTTTGTTTACTCAGTTATGTATTTTTAAGATTTATCAACATTGTGGCATATAGCCTCTTTTCTCTGCTGTATGACAATCCACTGTGAATAAGCCACAATTTATTTTTCCATACTCTTGTTGATGGACATTTAGGTTGTTGCAACTTTTTTTTTAATGAAAAATGCAGTTATGTACATTCTTGTATATGTTTCAAGATCTACATGTTTAAGATTTTCTTTACGGTGACTAGGAGTGGAATTAATGAGACATAAAGTAGAAGAATGTTCTTTTTTTTTTTTTTTAAAGATTTTATTTATTTATTCATGAGAGACAGAGAGAGAGAGAGGCAGAGGCAGAGGGAGAAGCAGGCTCCCCGCGGAGCAGGGAGCCCGATGTGGGACTCGATCCCAGGACCCTGGGATCATGACCTGAGCCGAAGGCAGACGCTTAACCGACTGAGCCACCCAGGCGTCCCAAAGTAGAAGAATGTTCTTAACGAGAGAATGTGTGTTTTTCGAAGTGATTACACCACTTGTATTTCTGTCAGCAATGTGTTAAGAGTTCCCATTCATCCACATCAATACTTGCTATTGTCAGATTTAAAAATTTTGATGAGTCAGATGGGTGAAAATGGGATCTCATTTTATTTTGCATTTCTCAGACTAATAAAGTTTAAAATCTTTCCACATGTTGATTGACCATGTGTGTTTCATGTGATGTATTTGCCATTTTCCTATTAATTTTTTATTTGTCTTTTTCTCTTTTATTTGTACTAATTCTTTATACAGTCTGAAGACTGATCCTATTTTGGTTATATATCTGGCAAATATCTTTTTCCAGCACGTGGCTTATATTTTCACTCTCTCAAGCGTGTCTTTTGATGAACAGAAGTTCTTAATTTGGGTATTTTTGTTAATCATTTTTATGGTTAGGTTTTATGAAAATCTTAAAATGCCAACTCTACAAGCATAAGAATATAAGTGTTTCAGTTTTGCTCTACACATTTAGGTCTTTCATCCATCTGGAATTGATTCTGTTTATGGAGTGAGGTAGGATCTAATTTTATTTTATTTTTTCCCACATGGATCACCACTTGTCCTGGGTCCCATTTATTGAATTCATTTTGCCTTCATTGATCTGAAATGAACCTTTCTCTCATATATACTTATCTTGACTCATCAGTTACTTTGTCTCTCCAGACAGTAGTATAATATCTTAATTACTATAGTTCCCCTATTTCTTTCTCCCTTCCTCCCACTTTCTATTGAAAGCTAATTTTCTACTATCTTTTGTCTTTCATTGTTGCTATTGAGAGTTCTTCTGTCCATTCTGTCTAGTTGTTGTTTTTGCTGTTTTTTGTCCTTGTCCTTCGGTCTTCCTGCATTATATTTAGGTGCATTTTCTTTTGGTTTATACATTTGTCCTTTTTGTATATGCTATATGCCATGCATCTGTGAATGCTTGCTCTTCCATTGTTTTTGGAAAATTCTTGATAATAATTTCTTCAAATATTGCCTCTTTTTTGTTCTTTCAGCTCTTTTTTTTCTGGAATTTTTAGGAGAAATACATTTAGACTTTCTCATTTTTATCTTCCATGTTCTTATCTCCTTTCATATTTTCCACTCTTCTTGGCTGTCTTCTACATTCTGGGTAATTCATCAGATCTGTCTTTCATTCACTTTGACAGTTCTCTCTTTACTGAATATGGAGTTGGCTATTTAATACTTCCACTGAGTTTTTTAGTTCAACAATTATGACTTTTGCTTCTGGTTAATTCTTTTCAAGCATTTCTTGTAATTTCTAATAATCTCTTGTTGCTCACTTTTGTGATTCCCATCTTTTATTCCTTTAAAATAGCCACAAATTACAATTCTAAATTCTTTTTCTGATTATCTGAAATCCTTAGGGGTGGGGATGGGGTCTAAGTCTGATATTTACTGTTTCTGAGACTCTTGTACATGATGATTTATTTCCTTGGGTGTTGGGTGATCTTTGATTTTGAGTTCCTAGCTGATGGGTCTTAATCTACAGAAAACCTGGATGTCTGAAGTGATGGAGTTTCCCCAGAACGTGTGCATTTGTTTCTTCCAGGAACCAAGGAGTGCTTCTTTAATCCTGGACTCTTGGTCCTTTTGCCACTGGCAGTGGTAATACTAGATTTACCCTTATGGCAGCCCCTTTTCACTGCTCTGGTTTCTGCTCACTTTGGGGGGTGGGGGGGGGAATTGTGGATCACTGGGAGGAGGTTTATTCTACTTCCTGTGAGCCTAAAATTTTGATGTAAAATCTAGTTCTGTAGCTGGAGGAAATTGCATCTCTCATGTAGTCAGAAGCAGAAGTGCCCGCATTCTGCTTTTTAGTTAAGGAAAGATCCTGGGTATATTTCTATTATCACGTTAGGTATATATCATCCTTCTTTAAGGCTGGGTAATATTTTTTCATGTGGTGTTAGTCTTCTGAATAATTAATCCATGACCTACTTCTGTGTTTTAGCTTCATAATTATTCTGTCTTTTAATTATACATCTCAGCTCCTCCTTTTCATTTGTTTGCTTGTTTAGTAGTCTTCCCTTTCGTTTGCTCATTGGACCCCAGGTTTTTTATGCACTTTGCCATGGAGGACCTTAAATACTACATCTTCATTCCTTACTTTCTCCTCTATCTCATTAGTCCTGGAGTTATGGTGCCCACTTACAATACATTTGCTTTGGATATTTAGCCCAAAGATGAAAATTAAAATATCAGAAATCTTCTCAAGTTCCTTTGTTCTTATGCTTCCTTCTTTCCTTCTTCCTATCCTTCCTTCCTTCCTTCATTACCATTGTTCTCATAGTCCCCTAGATTCATATCCTTTTGTGATTTAATTTTCCTCCACTCTCATATACAGCTCTCATATAAGCTCTTGTCTGTCATTCTACAGCATTTTCTTATTTGTCTTTTCTTCTCCTTTTCCACTGTCAAAAGCCTTATCCTCTCATTCCTTAATCACTATAACAATTCCATAGCAATTTTCTTCTTAATTTTAATCTATCCCACAAATAAGTACTAGACTTATCTTTCTAGTTATATTTTTAATCACAGTAAACTATTGTCTGGAACATACAGTTGCTCGTTTTGTCAATATTGGGTTGAAATTTGTAAGCCTGATGTTGAAGGCCAGTTGGCAGCTACCTCTTTTAGAAGGTGGTCTGCATTTTCTTCTTAACATTTTCCTTCTTCACCTGACTGCCTTGCATGGCCTGCTATATAATCAGCTTCTTTTCCTGCACATAGAACTTGCTGATTACTACTCAGTGCTTCCTGCCTTGAATCCCCTCCTGCCTTCTCTCTACCACTTCATGTCTGTTGCCTTCTTGAACAGCTCTCCTGTAACTGTGAGCCAATTAAGGTAACACTTTATTCTGCATACCTTTTAGAGAGAGTTTACTTGCATATTTTGCTTATGTACCCTGTAATCATTTTGTGTAATGTGTATGTTTTGTCTCTCCAAGCAAGTTATAAATTTCAGAGCATACAGATTGCCTCCAAATGTTTTAGTCCTCTCTATTTAGCACAAGGTTTAGTGTGGAGTGGTGCTCAGAAAAGTCTGTTGCATATTTAACAAGGAGCCACTGAGCGACCTTTAGATGTCTGGGTAGAGTTTACACCTTCCCTGCCAGCATCCTCACCATTCCTGGGCAGCTCAGGCCTTCTGCAGAATTGGTTTCACTATGTATGTGTGCTCAAGCAGAGGTACAAATAAAACTTTAAAATAAATTATTTCCATAGAAACTGGCGTCCCTTCTCAGTAGATCAGTTTAATTGGATGTCACTTGACAAAGGAGAAGCCAAAAATTTCAGATCTTGAGTAATTTGTAATTCAATTATAGTAATTTGTGAACACATATCCTTCAAATGGAAAACATCATTCAGTTTTTTGTTGCTATTATTATTGTTTCTTTTTCTTTAGAAATGCGAACTAGAAACTTAACAGTCTTATAAAAATTAGAACTTTCCTGTCACAAATGTATTATTTCTTTTTGTCTGAAGATCTTAGTTCGAAGAAGCAGCAGCCCTGCTGAATTGGATTTAAAAGATGATTTGCAGCAGACGCAAGGAAAATGTAAGGAAACACAGAAGAGTAAGTTCCAGGAAATGCAGTCTCTGTTCATCCAACTTCAGAGTCATCTATTTTGTTTTCTTCTACTTTCTGACTTGTACGATATCTTATCCTTTGAGGAGACATGGTTGTGAAATGGGACATTTTTATTCCTGGAATCCCAGGATTGATGGACGGTACACATGTGCAGTAAAACAGATCCAGTCCATTATGTGTGCCATAGAGGCCTGTCATTCCACCCTGGGCCTTTCTCCAGCTGAGAGGCACAAGCAAGGCCAATGGCTGGGTGACCAAACAGACCCAGAAGGAAAAGTGATCTTCCCCAGAAAGTTCCCACAGGCTAGGAGCAAAATGCTTCAGAAGTACATTGAGGTCAATGGTATAAGTATTTAAAAAATGAAATTTGATTCAAATCCTTAGACATATTATATACTGTATGTAGACTATGGCCCTAATAATCTGCTTCCCTGAAGTCAGCTGCCTGGCTGCCCCCTTCTCAGAAGCGTAGTAAACAACTCCTGCAGATCTAGGGTGCTTTTGGTAGAGGCAGAGGAGCTCCTCTTAGGCTCTACCTTCAGACCCTGTTGGCTGGAGTTCTGTGGCAGATGAAGGTAGGGACCTGACACATTGGTTACTGGGGCAACTTTCAGTTTATCTGGTGGCTGGGACAACTTGCAGCTCTTGGCACGTGAAGAGAGGACAGCAGATTAGAAGCAGCAAGGCCGAGGGACTGTCAACAGTGAATGCAAAGAGCAGACAGGAAGGGTAGACACATAAAACTGTTAGGAAGTAGACAGAAGACTTGGAGGAGCAGACTGTCTAGGTCTGTTTTGTGTCAGACTAAATAACTCTATAAGGCTTAATAGCCTTTGAAAGCATCATTGTATTATGACAAATTAGAACTTTTTAGTGTTTAAAGGGGAGAATTTCTTTTGGAGAAAATCTTTTGCAGTTGGACACCTCATCCCCCAGTGAGCCTGGGTGATTCACACTGGGTTTAGGTCTAAACATTGAACTCAAGGTAAAAAGCATCCTTAGGCTCTTGTAGCTGGTAGAATAAACTTGCATTTGTGGTGAAAGGAATTCCCATCATCTTCTTCCACCTGTGCCCTTTCGTAGTTGAGTAGGTTGCAGTAGAAAGCTGAACGACTTGATGTAATCTTTTGGGGATATGGGATAACTGAATTGAAGACTCCCTTGAAAAGATTGTCACTTGGTAATACGTAGGGGAGCTCATAATGACCATTAATGCCCTGCACCTAGGAGCTTTGTTTGTGACCAAGATCCCCACAATGTCAGCTTTTGAGCCCCCATCCCCTGAACGATTCCTGTTGTATCAGCTGTTTAGTTACTTGCATGTTGGTGATTGGGAACATTCTGATTTGCAGCTATTTATTATCTCAGACTTCGGTTCTTCCATTGTGCCAGGTGAAGGTATCAGCAGTGACACAGCTCTAGGCTATAACAATGAGGCAGAGCTGTCCATGAGCCCATGGCCAACCTGTGAGGAAGACCCAGAACTGAACACTCCCACAGATGGTGTGACTGACTCCGATGCCCGCCATTGGTTACAACTGAGTCCCACCGATGCTTCGAACTTAACAGGTAACTGCATCTTTGAAAAAGAGGCACCAGTGTGACCAGTTGGGAATCCCAGAGCTTCCCAGTTGCAAGAATTCTAGGAATCCTTTAGCACAATGATGATGGGGTGCTACCTCCAGCCAAATTGATGTGGCAGCCCCAACCACCTGTACATAATCAGTCATGAATTCTCCGAGTCCAGTGTGGAAAAGATCCTAAAACAGTGGTCAGACACAGGAGGAAGCAGGCCATGCTGACGACCACTGTCCACCATGGGAGCGAGTGATGATACTCATGCCAAGCCTTTGCCATCCCTGACCAAATTTGCTTGACTCTGGAAACAGAAGAGTGATTTATCCAACTCACATGTATCACAAATCCAGAATAAGTCAGAGAGTCTGAATAGCTTATTGATTAATATTTTCTTTAATTTTTACAATAAAATGTTTGACACATACAAGGTAAGTTGTGACCTATATGTAAGTTATGGGCCACAGTAATAAAATGATCACGTGTGAGCCTGCTACCCAACCTAAGAAATAGAATGGCTCCCACACCAGTGAAGTTCTCTGTAGGCCCTTCTCAAGTCCCTTCCCTTCTTTCCTCATCCAGTTGCCCTAGGTGCCCCAATTTATTCAATAATAATTCCCTTGATTTCTTTATAGTGTAACCACATATATCTGCATCCTGAAACCATGTATCATGTCATTTAGATTTTAGACTTCTAAAAAATGATATCATATTCTGTGTTTTTTGCTACTTTTCTCCCCTGAGTAATGTATTTTTAAGATTCATGAATGGACTACAGAGGCAAACTTTCTGGATCTGCATCCAGGCTTTGTTGGGTGGCCTTGAGCAAGTTAATCTCTCTGTCAATTTTGTAAAATATAGAGAGTAATAGTCCCTATTATAAGATTGTTGGAGGAATAAATATGTAAACACATAAGCCAGGTGCACAGAACAGTGCATGTGGAAGCGCTCTGCAGTTTTAGCTATACACATGCGTGCGTGTGCGTGCACGCACACACACACACACAAGTCCTTCCTGGCCTACCATATTCATGCTTATGTGCAGATACCTTTTAGGAAAACAACAACAAGCTAGAAAGCACAAGTTGAGTAAAAAGTGCTATTAAAATGCTAAAAATCATTTTAAAATTATAAGTAAAGTCTAAAATTTTGCCTTAGTTTTTTTTTAACCAGGCAAACTTTGGTTTTCATTAATTATTTTATAAAATTTAACTAGTCTCTAATGTTCCTGGAAATTGCTGATGGAGTAACATCAAAACTTTATAAAATTTACATAGAAAAATGGTGTTGAGTAAAATCGTTTATCTGTGAGATAGATAAGACCAAGATGTATGATCTTAATGTGTATTTAATGTGTGGTATTTTAATAATAGAATAGATTCATGAACGAAGAAAAACAAACCATTTAGCCATAAGTGAATAATGCATTGCCTTATAATATTGCAGTGCTGTCCTTAAAAGACAGTGGACATCTTTGGTTTATGTATTCAAAGCTGCCAATGGTAGAAGCTTTGCAGAGTCAGTGAGAAAATGATTGGCAAAATCATGTGCTTAGTTTTATAAATTATTGGATAGCAATTTGTGCTTCTCAAATTTTTGATTCTTTTAAAACCGAGTTAAAATTTTTTACATATAATGATATATAGATATATGTAATAATTTTAAATAATAATACTATAAATTTGTAAGGGATTTAACAGTTTACAAAGAATTTTGAGTCATCTTCTCTGATTCTGGATGGTAAGCAGTCCAAGTCTTATAAATGTTGCTTTAGAAATGGAGAAACCGGGACACAGAGAAATCATATTGTCTGTCTGGAAAGTAATTGCCAGAGTTGGAACTGGCTTCCAGAGTGTTTTGACTCCAGTGCAGCGCTATGTATACTCCTTTCTACTGCATTGCTGTTCAAATTACAACTGCAACCCCCTTTAAACCATTTGAGAATTATTTATATATTTATGAAATAAATGGCTTCTTTGGGTCCAGTATACAGATTATCCAAGGGAAATCATCATCGTAATACTGTCAAAGGCAATAGTGAATTTTCAGTAAGTTGAATTTACTTAAACAAGAACTAGTTTTAATTATTTTTATTGAAAAGAAAGAAAATTGGGTACCTACTTCTTTTGTCCTTTGGAAAGATTAGTTTTGATCCCATTTTAGAGTATGCATGGGACAGGTCAATTTAATAAACTTGTGTGAGGTAATTTTATATAATGCACTCTATGTTGTGATTAACTCCTCCAAATACTTTGTTCTTCTTTGAAATACTAATATAGAGACTCAGTACACTCAGTTCAATAGTTCATCTTGTCATCTGTGAAAAGGACAAACTGTAATATGATAAGGTTTAAGGATTATCACAGTTCTGAATTTAACTTTCTGTTCTTAAGAGAACAATTTCTTCATAAATGTACGAAATAAAACTCATGTTAGCCTGATCTTTAGGACATGCAAAGAGAATGATCAAACAATTTGAGTGTTTCCTTCTTTCTCATTGAATAATCCTACCAGTTATCAAATATTTAGGATAATAAACTGCTTCTGAAATCTTGAATTCCTTCATCACTGGCAAGCTAATAGTTTTATATTTGTTTTCTTGTTTACATTATTACATGTTTCCTGAAAATAACAGCTAAATTTATTTTTCTTCATTTCAAAATGGGGATTTGTTTTAATCAAGTATGGCAAGACATGAAGACATGGAAATGATTGTTGTGAAGGAACAAGTTTATACTCATAGGTCCGTAGAAACAGGGCCATGGTATGCTATGCTGGGGCAAGGTGGGGGAGACACATGGGGAAGCATCAGGATTGATCAGGAGAGGGGAGAGAGAAGGAAACATGGGCAACATCCTTTATTGTCTTTTCAAGGCCAGACTGGTGAAGCACATTTAGGATTGGCTAGTTTGAATAAATTCAGCTGATTTTGGAACATTGACTGGTTGCCTGGTTCCTGATCGTGGGGTGCTTAGGCTTTGATGTGTAGCAGCTAGATAAAGGAGGTAGTTGGGAAGTATGAGTGTTGGATTGGTGGGTTTACGTATGAAAGACACATGAACTGTTTGCTATCTCTAGGAGTTAACTAACCCTGGGAGGGGCAGTCTCTTCCTGGTCAGGAAAACCCTAGATGGCAGAGCATCAAGAATACAGAAAATAATAAAATATAGCTAATACATACATAAATTTTGCTCTGTTGAGGTCATGATTTTGGAGGGAAATATTTATGACTTTATAGCTAGGAAGCAGTATTGCTATTGACCTCATCTCTTTTTTAGCAAATAATTTACAATCTCGAAATATTGATATTTATGCTATAAGAAATAAAAAGATGAATAAGTCATAGCCGTGTCTGACTTAAGAGCTTACCAAGAAGACAGAAGACATTTATCCTGATAGCCACAAGCAGTAGATAAGTGTTACAGTTTTTTAAAGAAAGCTTTAATCACAGGGATAGACAACTAAGACTAATGGAATGGAATATAAAATACATACTGAATCCACACAGGCATGGAATTGTGATATATGAAAGACTTGGCATTCCAGATCTGACAAGGAAAGAATATATTCTTCAACAAATGCCTGTGGACAAGTATTTAGCCATACGGAGAAAAACTAAATAGAATTCCTACCTCACACCATGCTCACAGATGGATAGAATACTGAAATGTGAAAAGATTTTAAAACTTTTAGAAGAAAACATTTTCTAAAAACATATCTAAGACCTTGAGTTAGGGAAGATTTTCTTAATCAAGATAAAAAAAAAGCCATCCATCATTATCAATCAATATCAATGAGAAAAATATCAATCATTAATTCAACTTTGGCATACTTAAGATTTTTTCATTATCAGAAAAACTTTAAGAATTCCAAAGGTTTACAGAACTCCAAAGGGTACAAGCCAGCTTTGGTGCTCTTTCCTTTCCAGGTGTCTGTCAGGTCAGTGATACATTTTAAGATAAGACTCAGTAAGATATTGTATCAAACATATTTAGTTTATTTGAAGGAGGCTCTTTGGTATTACCCCACTGGAATATAAGCTTTAGGAGTGAGGGGTTGTCAGTTGTGGTCACAGCAGATTCTTGACTCCTAGAATGGTGCATAGCAGGAGAGAACATTCAATAAATACTTGAATCAATAACTGAATAAGCTTTAAGTTGCAGGCTACTGTATTATTTAGTTAAAAACAGAAATTGCATGGAGCACTGGGTGTTATATGAAAACAATGGATCGTGGATCACCACATCAAAAACTAATGATGTATGGTGACATAACATAATAAAATTTAAAAAAAAAAGAATTTTAAAATTTAAAAAACAAATTAAATTTTAACCTTTTTTTTTATTCTTATGTTAATCCCCCTACATTACATCATTAGTTCTAGATGAAGTGTTCCATGATTCATTGTTTGTGCATAACACCC